GGCTTCGGTCCGGGTAGCGCATCGCCCTCAGCGCAAGATACAAGCTCTCTGTGATGCGCAACAGACCGTTGCTTTCCACATCGTGTAGATAGCATGCGGGGTTAGGGCTGCCCCAAACGTATGAGATAGCTTCGAACTCAACATCGGAATTTGTTCGGTGTATCTCAAGTATTCGACACGACAAGGTTGATTCGGACGACCCTGGTAGAAGCTCAAGAACGCGAATTGTATCTGGAGTCTGCAGCGCTTTGTGTATGTGACGCTGGACATCAGGGTGGACCAAATCGGAAGTGTCCACTGAATCGGACATCTCGATAGCATGAGGCTGATCGGACGACATTGTGCGGCGCTTCAACCAAGGATTGGCTGTAGGATATGCTGTAATGCACCTTATTTTTGGAAAGGACTGGCGGAGTTTTTGGTGTACGACTTGGGTCTGTTCGTGTGTAGTTCATGAGGGATGGGGATGCGAGATTGAGGTGAGTAGGCAACGAGAAGTGCGAAAGGCTGAAGGCTGAAGGCTGAAGGCAGCGTCTTATATACGTCTATCCATTGGGTCTTGCGCAGTCATGCGCGAAAGTCGCGCATACACCTATCACAGCTTGCCCTGCCGCGCACCGCATTGCATCGCCGACAGTGATAAGGCGAGTGCGCGGCAGGCCGAAGTACGGCACCGGCATGCATTCTCATAACGCGCTGGTGTGGTTAAACATACAACTTGGATGATTTGCTGTATTGATGGTGTATTGAATATTCGAGGATGAAGTAGAGATGCAGCAGGCGCCAGGCGCGCCCCGCAGACCAAGCCCAAAGCTGTCATCGTGCCCCACCCCACGTGGGCCATATGTGAGGTGCCTAGCACCCGAGGTAGGTAACCCTGGACGTGTCGGAAACTGTTCTACCTCAACATGGCATTCTTTCTACAATCTAAGAGGAACAAAGTCCCTCATATTGTGAATTGTTCGTAACACGATGATCGCGACTTCTAGATCTGGACGGTGATGGCAGCTCCTTTCACAGACCACACCTACACTCGTTCGCCTCGTTGTCTCACTAAACACCAATGCTAGGCTCTCACCATCTTCTGGAACTGGATCCCTAGCAAAAGAGCTTCTCTAGAAATGCATGATATGCTAAGGTCGCCAATTTCGCAAATCTGAAGATGTTGAACGTACCATCCCTCTACCGCAGACAAACGTCACAACCACCCACTCCTTCAGCACCTTCCTCCGAAATTTCCACAACTCCACTCGACCCAAACCTCAACCTAAACCACAAAACCCACACCCTCCCCTCCGGCACAACCTTCCACATCTGGACGCCCACCTCCACCCCCATCGCAACAATCATCCTCCAACACGGCTACGCAGAATACTCCGTCCGCTACCTAACCTCGCATTCCTCCCTAATAACGCACCTCCTCGCCGCGCACTACACAATCTACGCCCTCGACCTGCACGGCCACGGCACCTCCCCCGGCCACCCCCGCGCCGTCGTCCACGTAGGAAAAGCCGTAGCCGACCATCTCGCACTCCGGCGTTATGCTGTTGAACAAGGAGGGGGAAGACCGGTTGTACTGTTTGGACACTCCCTCGGTGGTCTAATAACCGCGGGGAGTGTGGTAGAGGATCGAGAGGGCATTGATGGTGTAATCCTAACCAGTCCCGCGTTCCCCGGCCCCTTCCCCTCCGCCGCCCGACTAGCCGTCGGCGTCTTAGCACGCACAATACCCACAGTTTCCATCCCAGGCCGCGGCGTACCCATCTCCAGCCTCACACGGCGTCAGGTCGAGATTGAGAAGTATCTCACCGATCCACTATATTCCAAGAAATCGATATGTGTCTTAACGGCTGCGACGGCCGTGGATGTTGCCGATGGGGTTAGGGCGAAGATGGGGGCGTGGACAGTGGCGACGTTGGTGGTGCATGGGGACGAGGACGCGTATTGTGATTGGAGGGGGAGTGAGAGGTTTGTGGATGGGATAGGGACAGGGACAGGGGAGAAGGTGTTTGAGGTGGTTGGAGGGGGGAGGCATGAGTTGTTGAATGATGAGTGTGGGGAGGAGGTTTTGGAGAGGGTTTTGGGGTGGATCAAGGGACGGGTGTAGAGATGGATAGGTGTTGACTGTATGAGAGTGTGTGATTGATGTGCTATAAACGCCGCCCAATGCGATAGTATCGCAAGTCATAGCAATGCATAGCAATGCGAGCCGAACTAGTGACTATACAAGACGTTGGTATCCGTATCTCGTTCTACATGATTGTGGATGAGCGCGGAATTAAAGTGGTATCGTCCTTGAGCCCAGAAGTGGGGTCATCTTGCGGAAAAATGTGCAAGTTGAAATCAGAGCCATCGCCCAAGCCGCTTGCGCTGATGATCTCCTTTCTCAAGAAAACACTGAACATGTCTAGACAGTGCTTCCACTGCTGAACACCTTGCCGAAAGCATCTCCCTCTTCCATGCTCAGTCCCTCGTCTAGAATGTCGTGCGCCATGTTGACGACTTCATCTTCAATTCCCGCTTCCAGCACTAAGCCCTCACTGAAAGCCAACCGCGTTAGTGCAACGAGATATGCGTGATGACCACCTAGCGTATTCACCAACTTGCTCTTGATGTCGAAATCGGCATTCGTCGTCGCGACGTGATAAATCAGCTTCATAGTCGCATTGATGGAATCGACTTTCCGCTCTTGAGTTGGTGAAACGGGATGTCGATAAAGACTCGTCACGCAATGGTCGAGGTACTTGATCAACCGGCCAATGCAGAGGCCATTCTGGGCTAGACGACTAGAGCCGTATTCTGGGATAGAGAACTGCGTCAGGACTGAGATGACGAGCAGGCGAAGGTCCCAGAGATCTGCTTCGGAGATAGCTGAAGCTTCATCGGAAGACGCCAAAGGATCCGGGACAGGCTTGGGCAGCTCAGTGAAGAGGTTGGTGAGACGATGGACCAGGGCGTCTTCGTTACTTGCTTGGTTGTCTTGGGCGGAATCTGCGAAGGTTATAGGTCCTATTGAGGTGGACAGTGCAGAGGTGCCAAGGATGCGCAACATGAGCGTGATTTGGGCATGTGGCTGCTCTTTGACGAGGAGCATGATGGCGAAGCTTGAAGGAATCGCTTGCCATAGACGAGCTATTGCTGTGGAATCTATTGAGAACACGCAGCTGCTGGCGATCAGATACAGCAACTCAAGACAGTCTTCAACATCGATGTGAGATGCAATCTCTCGCTGCTTTGGGGAGTAGAGATCGGCAACGGCCTTTTCACCCCCTTTGGCTGCTTTCGAAATAGGGTCCGCCACGAGATCGACGAACGCGATTATGAGCGGCACTACGCGCTCGGTGATCTTGACAGCGGTCTCGATCGGCTCGCATGCGAGGATGAAGTGCAGCGCATCGAGTATCAGAGACGTCGGAGCGTAGTACTTCTCGGACTGACACCGCTTCCACAAGTCGAGGAAGATGTGGCATATTTGTAGTGCTAGCTCGTGCACATCAGATGTGTTTATCTTGGCGAGAGCATCATACACGATCGAAGATAGTTTCTTGGATGGCTTGGACGGAAATGCATGCGACGTAAGTGCTTCGAGAACGCGATCGGTGCCATTTGATGATGGATGTGACAGCAGGCGGTGCAGGAGGGTGAATCGGCGGTCGTCGCGTCGAAAGTGCTCGAGCAGTGCGGCGTCTATGACAGGTCCTACAGCTGGTGCTGGCTCTGTCTCTCTAGGCCGAGTTCGCGGTTCGCTCAGCTGCAGCGCAGGCAGTGGTATGGGGCTCTGGTCGATAGCCTGCCGCTTCCGCTTGCCGGCTTGCTTTGGCGTCGCCGTCTTCTGCCTCTCGCGGTACTTTGACGGTGATGCCATAACAACGTCGTCGTCGTCAAAACCATCGCCCAGTGGACCTCTCGTCTTCTGCCCCCTCTTAGGTGTGCCAGCCGGGCTGATTGCCTGCGCACCTGACTTTGGTCGTGAGGGCATGGTTCTGCCAGGCCGTCGGGTCATGACAGCCTCTCGCGCCTCGTGCTGGTTGAACATGTTGTCCGTCTGCACCGACTCCTTCTCGCGCCGCAGCTTCTCCATCTCGGCACGCAGCTTGGCCAGTTCGGTGCTGTGCGACTGCTGCTGGTCCGCCAGCTGGCGCTCGTGTTTGCGGTTTTCGGCATCGTAGCGCCTTCGAAGGGTATCGGCCTCGCCCGCCTTGGTCTGCAGCTTCCCCTTCAGCTCCTCGGCTTCTCGCTTCTCGCGCGCCTTGTCTTGCTCTAACTGCGATGATCAGCGGGGCGTCTGCAGACTGAGGTGGACGCGTCGCACCTTCTTGATGCGTTGCAGCAGCGCATTGGGGTCAGCCTGAGATCTGCGCGGCTGCTCTTCCACTTCCATCTGGTCATAGTGGCAGTGTTCGATAATGGCGTTGATGTTGTCATCGATGTGACTATCGTAGCCCTCCTCGTCCAGCGCATATAGAGGTGGCGGACTATGCGCATCGTCCAGATTGACTACCTCGTCGCCATCGTCGGGGCCGTAGTCGGACTCTGGCTCGGTGTCGGGCTGGTGCTGTGTCGCGCGGATGGCGCTCGCCTCGAGATGCTGCAGGGCGTCGGCGGGCAGGTCGTCGAGGTCATCGTCGGAGAAATCGTCGAAGTCGTCGTCAGCCATTGTCGGTCCATCTGCCAGCGGGCCTGCGCGTGAGCATGTCCCAAAGCGGTCGCGATGCGGGGCGCATGGACGCGTTGTTGGCGTGTTGGCGTTGGCGTGTTATAGTGCTAGGGAAATTCACATGCAGGCTGCAGGGTCGCTAAGCTAAGCGGCGGTGCCATGACGCAAGCTGCCCGTGGTTACTTGTCCGTCAATTTCACTACTTGGCCCAGTCGAGCCTGCCGCCAACACCACCTCCTTCACCCACCCCGCCCTCACCCATCGCGCCTTCCCCTCCGGCCTCGCCTCGGCTGCCCCTATACCCCCAAGGATACCAGGCGCAACCGCCCTCTCCTCCTTCACCATGGCGCGCCCGAGAAAGGACGTCAAGTTCAACCACCAGGTCCGCAGCGCCAGCAACGGCAGGGCGCGGAGACCCTCTCAGAGCATGTCCGAGTACAGCGACCCGGGCAGTCCGACTATCAAAGAAGAGACGGCCCCTCCAGTACGTTGGCAGCCCTCTGCCCACGTCTCCCCAGCTGACAGCGCCAGGCCACCGAACAGCCCCCCCAGACCGAGTACGAGAAGAAGAAGGCCAACTTCATAACGCGCACAACATGGACCCTCGTCATGATTGCCGGCTTCTTCTGGGCCCTCGGCGCGGGTCATCTCTTCATAATCATCATCGTCACGGCAGTCCAGGTCATATCCTTTAAGGAGGTCATCGCAATCGCAAATGTGCCCAGCAAGGCCCGCAGCCTGCGCTTCACCAAGTCGCTGAATTGGTACTTCCTCGGCACCGCCATGTACTTCCTCTATGGCGAGAGTGTCATATACTACTTCAAGCACGTCCTGATGGTCGACCGTCTACTGCTGCCCCTGGCTACCCACCACAGGTTCATCTCCTTCATGCTGTACATAATCGGTATGTTCCCAGTCCCCACGATGTATGCGCAAACTAATCCCTCCAGGCTTCGTCTTCTTCGTCTTCTCGCTCCAGAAGGGCCACTACAAGTTCCAGTTCACCCAGTTTGCTTGGACGCATATGGCCCTCTTCCTCATCGTCGGACAGGCGCACTTTGTCATCAACAACATCTTCGAAGGATTCATCTGGTTCATTCTCCCCGTCTCCATGGTCATCACCAACGATATCTTCGCTTACCTTTGCGGTATTACGTTTGGACGGACACCCCTCATTCAGATCTCGCCTAAGAAGACATGGGAGGGCTTCCTCGGCGCCTGGTTCTTCACTGTTATCTGGGGTATGCTCGTTGTCCACTTCCTCGGCGACTACAAGTATTTCATCTGCCCGGTCAACGATCTGGGCGCAAACATCTGGTCCGGTCTCGAATGCAGGCCAAACCCGGTCTTCATCGCGCGCGACTATACTGTTCCCTTCCTTCCCGAGGGTCTCCCCATCCCGCGAACATTCAACATTATGCCAGTGCAATTCCACGTCATCATGCTCGGAACCTTCGCGTCTCTTATCGCGCCGTTCGGTGGCTTCTTCGCTTCTGGCCTGAAGCGTACCTTCAAGATTAAGGACTTTGGCGACTCCATCCCTGGTCACGGTGGAATGACTGACCGCATGGACTGCCAGTTCATCATGGGCTCCATTGCTTTCTTCTACTACTCGAGCTTCATCGCCGTGCACCACACCACAGTCGGTGGAGTGATTGAAGCAGCCATCACTGGACTCACCTACGAGGAGCAAATGGAGGTTGTCAAGATCATGAGCAAGCACTTGGTGAACCAGGAAGTAATCTCACCAAAGGTATGTGGTACTTTACCCTTGACACGAGCATCACTAACATCCACAGGTACTGGAACTTCTTTCAGAGCAAGTGGTGAGGAGGTGAGCACGTGTCTGTGCGAATTATGACAGGATTAGGTATTTAGGGATTGGAGGAAACGCTACGCCTGACGCTGTTTCGATATAATACGGTACGGAAGGGCATGGGCTTTGCATGAGACGTGTTGGTATTTGGGCGCATATACCCTTTTTGCGGCTTGGTACGGGATAGTAAAAGCATCTAGAAAGTGCTCATGTGCATATAATACAAAACTAAACTCCTACCAATCTGCCGTGTACAATGATATGCCAGTCAGTTGTGGTGTAAGACGAACCGAGGCGCGCGCACGGACGCATCATGTTACGCTGCGCGCATTGAAACTTTGGCAGTGCACATCACCCACGCCAATGCCACCCCGCCCTTTCGTGAACGACGGCCTGTGGCGATGCCTGTGTCCGGGTTTTCCGTCGAATGCTGGAACGACACCGTCCGTTGCAAGAGGGGGAGCTAGGCTGCTACAGCGCAATGCATCGCAAAAAGATACCACAGCCCACTGCGGCCGCCAACTGCGTACCTACAACCGCTCCAGCGCACCCTCCGCAGCGAACGACACTTTCTTCTCGCAGCCCGGGGCCGCCCTAAACGCCTTCCGGTCTTTTGCAGAAAAGCCTCGCGCCTTCCCTTCGCAGACCTCACGAGATAGACCTCCGCTCGCCCAGCTCCCGACCTACATCCTATACGAACATGTGCGGGCCGAAGGCGCCAAGGGAAACTTCGACGAAGTCATGAACATCTGCAGGGTCTTGATCAAAGACAGAGGGGAGGTGCCGAACAGGGAGATGTACACGGCCGTACTACACAGCTTCGTCGACTCCGTCAATGGCACGGCGGGGAAGGTCCGCAAGGTGCTGGAAGAGATGGGCTTCTGGGACGAGACCGATGGATCTCTGACCGGAAGGCCAAGAATCTTGCTGGATGCGCGGGGCTGTGAATGCGTGCTTGAGGTGCTTGCAGTGCACCCGGACTACCTCCTCCGCACCGACATCCTCGAATACATGAAGTCGCGATGGTTCATGCCATCCGACCGTGCGCGCAACTTCATCATAGCCGGAATGCTACGCGAGCGACATTTCGAACACGCACTCGAGCTGCTGGAGGAGATGGTCAGGAGCAAAGCACGCGTGGAGAGCTGGCTGTTTGACAAGGCTATATGGATGCTGCTGGAATTTGGGGAGGTCGAAGAAGCATTCTACGTGCTGAGTCTCAAGGAGGGTGTGCATAGCAAGAGTAGCGGAACAGGTACCGTCCAGCTCAGTATCGCTCTCTGGGGAGCGTTGCTAGATGCCGCGGCGCACAAGCAGCTTGTAAGTGGGACCTGTGTAATGCATTTTAAGGGAAGTTGCTAACACTGTGAAGTACGCAGAGACGAGCCTTGTATGGATTGCGCAAGTTCAGCCGGGCTACCTGAAGCCTGGCACTGGCGCCTGCCTGCACGTACTCACTCTCGCCTCACGACACGGAGATATCCAGCTCGCTACCGATGTCTTTCGCGTCCTGACCGAACGAGGTACAACGTTCACCTCGCAACACTATGAACTGCTCATATCCACATACCTCAACGCCAACGACCTGCAAGCAGCTCTGTCTGTCATCCTCATCATGGTTGATTCGAACTTGAAGGTCAATTCTGGGACCTGTGATCCACTCTACTGGTATCTGTCCGCAAAACATCACAACGATGACAGCAGACCGATGCAAGCCTTCAGATATCTGCAAGACTTTGAGACTTCTGGCCGCAAAGTTCCCACCGCTGCCGTTAACGCGTGCATCAAAGCCAGCATCGCCAACAAGCGCCTGGAAGAAGGCATCGAGATTTACAAAGCGCTGCACACGGTATCTCATGCTGGCCCGAACACAGAAACGTTCAACATCCTGTTTCAAGGCTGCCATAGATCCGCCCGCAAGGAGCTTGCCATGTTCTTTGCGAACGAAATGGTCAAGCTGGGTCTCAAACCTGACCGCATTACGTATGATCGTCTGATCCTGGTGTGCCTAGAATCGGGTGACCTGGAAGATGCTCTGCTCTACTATGAGGAGATGCGGTCAACGGGCGCGACAACTGGCAAAAAGGGCCCCTTGAAGCCTAGAAGGAAGACGTGGGAGACATTGATCCACAGGTGTGTCTTGAAGGGCGACGAAAGAGCAGTCGCGCTGTTGAAGGATTACAAAGCTAGTGTGGAGGAACCGCGAATCGCAGTGGAGCGGGCTGTCATCGATCGCTTCGAGTATGGCATCATACCGACCAATCTAGCGGAGATCGGACGAGCGACACCCGAACAGACAGCCGACGCTGTCAAAGACCGACATGGCAAGCCGGAGGCTGGTCGAACCCCAGACGCTGACTCGGAACTGTCGGAGGGACGAAGTGGGGCGGAGCCTGAAGGAACGAGCTCGAGTGCGAACACCGAGACGGGGACGCAGAAAGCCGAAACTGTTGACGGGCTTTCACAGCTTATGAGAGTTAGCAAGAGCACCAAGCAGTACTAGAGTTTGAGCATTCATGCAAAGCCATCAGCAGGTCAGACATCGACTGAGGTCTGGCCAAGCAATAACAAGCTACGATCGTCTCGCGCGAAGTCTTATCTCGCCGCATGCGCAGGTACATACTTTCAAACTTACCGGCGGTTTCTTGCTGTCTTCTAGCCGACCCCACGGGTGTGGAGCAATCAGGCAGATTCCCTGGTTAACCACCTGTCGTTTCATCATCAAATCTGGGCCGGCGCGCTACTCACGCGAGCTGAGCAAATTGCGTCTCTCGCCCGAGCTGCCTGCTGCCATCTTCCGACATTACGGAGCGCGCACGGCGATGGTGGGGATAGAACAAGTACCGAGGCCGTAATGCGAACCAATCGCGCCGCACGCGTATCAAGGTTTTTAAGCACCTAACGTCTTCTTGGAAAAGCTTAAATCCTTCCGCAGAGCCTCAGTACAAATTCGGCCCACATGAAGCCTCAACCGTCATGATAGCGCTGCGACAAGGGCGTAAGGATTTTTCCTCCCCAGCCGCTCGCTTTGAGGCGAGCGACGCCGAACTATGGCCGCGGACGCAGACGCGCCCTGCTTTGTGGTCATGCTGCGAGTCAATTCCCGCAAGCACGGACTGCAGACCGGTCAAGAAAATCGAGGCCGTTTGTGGAGGGTTACCTGCTAGTGTTGCGGTGTATGGGGTCGGTGCTAAATCGAGGCATCCGGTGCAGCTCGCTGGCTGGCTATACCTGTATCTCCGGGTCAGGGTGTTTACCCCCAAAAGGCGGAGCACTAAGGCCGCTCAATAATGCACTGACTGGAGTTTGTCTCCATGGTAGTGTGCCCACATTGCAGGATATTGTGGGGTGCGCTTCTGGAGTACAAGTACTGAGCTGCTGTCCATCCCGTCTCCTTCTGTAGTCCCCTCCTCTCCCCTCTGAATCTTCCTCCCTTCGTCAATCTTCACCATGGGACTCACCGGAAAGACTCTGCAGACGGCACAGCTGTTGCTTGTCGTTCTGCCAGCTTTTGTGCTGTTTGGATACAACCAGTCTGGTGTGGGTGGACTGTTGTCTCTCCGTGACTGGAACGACCACTTCCCGGAGATCAACACCATCGATACTACCGGCGCGGAGAAGAGCAGCAACTCGACCAAGCAAGGTGCCGTTGTCGCTACCTTCACCATTGGCGCTCTCTTCGGTGCTCTGTCTTGCTCATGGATCGGCGACATCCTCGGACGACGAAAACTCATCTTCGGTGCCGCATTCCTGACTCTCGTCGGCGAGATCCTGCAATGCACTAGCTTCCAGCTCGCGCAATTCGTCGTCGGCCGCTTCATTCTAGGATGGGGAGTCGGAGCTCTCAGCGCTACTGTCCCAGTCTGGCAATCCGAATGCTCATCGTCTGCCAACCGTGGTAAGCACGTTGTGCTCGACGGTTGCTTCATCTCTCTTGGCTACCTCCTCGAAGCATGGATCAACCTTGGATTCTTCGAACAGGATAACCTGCCTCTGCAATGGCGTATCCCGCTCGCCATTCCCACCGTCATTTCCCTTGTTCCCATGGCCGCTGTATTCAGCATCCCTGAATCACCTCGCTGGCTAGTCAACAAGGGACGCGTGGAGGAGGCTCGTCTCAGTCTGTCCAGCTTCAAGGGCCTGGATCTACACGACCCCGAGATCACAGCTGAGATCAGCGGCATCGAACTCGCGCTTGAGGAGACTGGTCGCAGCGCAGCGAAGATGAGCGACATCTTCACCATGGGCAAGGACAAGCTCTTCTACCGCTTCTCCCTCTGCATCTTCCTCCAGTTCCTGCAGCAGATGTGCGGTAGCAACCTCATCTCCACCTACTCAACCGTAAGTCCACATCCCCCCTAGCTATAAAACACCAATTCTAACACAAACCAACAGATCATCTTCCAACAAGGTCTCGGCCTCGACTCGGAAACCTCGCGCATCCTCTCCGGCGGCGCACTGACCTGGAAGTTCCTCTCCTGCTTCGTCGCCTTCTTCACCATCGACCGCTTCGGACGCCGCAAGCTCTTCATGTTCAGCGGCGCGGGAATGGCCTCCTGCATGTTGGCTCTCGCCGTCGCATCCAGTTTCCCCAAGACAAACCAATCGGCTCAGATCGCTAGCGCGCTCTTTGTCTTCCTCTTCAACTTCTTCATCCCGATTGGGTTTCTTGGAGCGAACTTTTTGTACTGCACGGAAGTTGCGCCGACGAGGTTGCGTGTACCCATGGCGGGTATTTCCACTGCCAACCACTGGCTTTGGAACTTCGTCGTCAACATGGTCACGCCCGTTGCCATCGAAACTATCGGCTGGCAATACTACCTCGTCTTCCTTATCATCTCCGCTATCATTCTGCCCGTCGTTTACTTCGGTTACCCTGAGACCATGGGCCGCAGTCTGGAGGAGCTGGAGATGATGTTCACAGAGGGTACGAGCATCCCGGCTATTGTTAGGGAGAGCCGCAAGCCGTTCACTAGTCCTCTTCCTGAGCATATGCTCGAGAAGGGCGGAAAGGATGTTGATGAGGAGGAGTATGTCCACTAGGTTTGCAGGCGGGAAAGTAGCCATGCCTGTATGGCAAAGCTGAAATGTGTATGTCATCGCAGAATACTAGCGATGCTATGAGTATATGAAATGAATTACGAATTATCCCAAACTGTCATCTGATAATGTATAAGTATCATGTGGAACTACAGCGTTCCCCAGGCCGAACACCGGAGCTATCGCGATCGTTCCGTACACCAAGATACACCTCTCTAGGATCAAGACCAGGTCCCCTGCCGAGCCATTCGCGCATTCCCCCATTTCATGGTCGAAGGAAATGAGGAGCACACCAGAAGGACAGGCCCAGCAGACACCCGTCACCAACTATCCTAGATTCCACTGTGATAAACGGCTTCCCAACACTGAGCAGGCTCGACCGGTGAAGCCAGCAAAGGATAAGAGTAAAGAGAGCTAGAACGACTGATCTTTCGGTCCTTGTTGTCTGATCATCGCCGCGATAACCCCGGATTCCACGATCGACATCTTAATTCTATCTTTATATTCCGGGGGATGATCAAATGGCAACTACACGTTGGACTAGATCGCCTCAGCCTTCTTGAACACAGGATAAGCATAACACTACACGATACAAGCAACCAAAGCCACAATGGCTCCGGAAAGTTTTCCTACAATGACATCATTCGATCTGCACACAGGGTCCTAACGCTAACCCTTTCTTGGCCACCCCGCCTTTGCGCACTTGCCACTGAGGCACTGCGATAGGCTGAGCAGCAGGATGGTTTACCTGTTTGGTGATTCTGCTGCATGTCTCGGTCATTTATCCAGGTTATGCGACTGGGTTGGAGTCTTAATCGTATGGTGTCAAGCTCGTGCCGAGCTGTGGAAGCTAGCCACAGCCAGCCCTGGCGGGAGGCTATGGTAGGTAGCACCTCGTATTCGGTTGCTCAGCCATGTGAGGTGGTTAGTTGGAGGCAGTGAGGAAGATCGTGGGAATAAGTTGATTGTGCTATTGATGACCGGATATATAACCAAGCGAGGACGCTATTGCTTGGTGGTGTTGTTATAGCTGTCAGACACGTCTTATCTGCGTCTATACCTAAGCAGCAAACTCTCGAAGAAAACACACAATACGCAATACACAACACCACAAGTACTCCACTACAACCAACACCAACACCAACAACGACCATGACAGAAACAACCCCCAAAACAAACGACTACTACGCCCCAACCTCCTCCACCCTCGACACACCCCCAACCTACCCCTCCACCACATCCTCCCCACCAACCTACACAACCGTCGCCCGCGCCCTAACCACCCTCTCGGAAGGCGACCCCAACGAAACAATCCCCGTCCCCATGATCACGCGCACCCTCGCCTTCTCCCTCCACAACTACAACCCCTTCTCGCGCAAACAAGGCAAAATATCCCAATCCATCATAATCCGGCAAATGAAGCGCTCCTACTACAATGCACATTACGCCAAAGACGCAGAGGGGAACTTTGTGGGGACGGGAACCCCGGCGCCGGATCTGGGGTTGGTTTTCGTGCCGGGGAAGAGCAGTAGTGAGGACATGCTTAAGCAGGCGAATGAGGTTGCGCTTGAGGTGCAGAGACGGAGGGGGAAGGGAATTGGCAAGTTTGGGATGCCGCAGGATGGTCCGGAGGGGGCTATGATGGGGGTTTCGCTGCCTGGGGGTATGTGAGGGGGGAGATGGTTGTTCTGGGTCTGGGTAGTTAGAGGGGAAGTGGGCGAATTGGGTGGACTTTGGAGTCTGTTATTTGATACCGTGTCAATAACGACTTCGTCAACAAATGTTAGAATTTGCCATGTTTCTACGTCTAATAGTAGCCTTTGTCATCCCACGGACTCCTCCTCTTAGCCCACTCCTCAATTGGCGTCAGCTTGACTCCTAGTTCGTCCACCACAGGCTTCATATCAACATTGAACGGCTCATCTTCCGCCTCGTTGTAATACGTATATGCCTTGAACATCTGACTGACAATTGTATCCGTGTCCAGGCCTCGCCCCTGCATCGCCTTGCCAATCTTGTCGCAAAAGTCTGCAACAGTCTGATTCTCATAACTCAGCTGCTTGTCCCAGGCTCTTGATAACTTCTCAGTTAGTTGAGAAAGAACAACAGTTTCAGCACCACCGATAGGGATGTTGCGGCCAGAAAGCTCAGGATGCTCCATGGCGGCCATCATGATCTGCGCGACATCGTGATGACAGATCCACGACACGCGCAGGTCTGGCTTGTGGCAGTAGACAACGGTGTTGCGGTCGCGGATGGGAGGTAGAGCCCAGCCTTCGAGAAGGTTGTCGAGATAAACCACAGGCTCAATGCTGATGGTCGGCACAGACTCCCTCAATAACCTCCTCATCTCCCTTCTGTCCTCTTGAGCTACGATGTCTTGAGATTCCTCCGGCACCGGCATACTCGTGTTGAACAGAATCAACGGGACGTTTGCCTTCTTTGCGGCCTCACCAATGTACT